ACTCTCATGAATAAATAAACAAATCTTAAAAAAAAATATCCCGACACAGTTGTCTGTTCCAGATGGTAATCGGTTGTTTTGCAACCGGGATCAACTTCTCTGTTGGAATCCGAGGCAAACCCAATAAATTCGCTCATTGCCGTCAGGTTTGGAACCAGCTGGCAGGTACAGAAGAAAGACAAATGAGGGTCGTCCTGTTGGCTCTGTTACCAGGGAGCTAATTGGAGTGTGTGCCATGCAGCCCAACGGTGGGTGGGGACCGAGAAGAGAAGGGTCAGCTCCTCCTCTCCAACCCCGTAGGCAGCGAAGTCCCGATTATTACTCTTCCAAGGGACTGCCCGGCTTGCAGGAGGGAGAAGGATTCCTCTGTGGGCCCCAGGCTAGTAGCATCAGGGTCACCTGGGAACTTTAAGAAATGCAAATTCTAGGTCCAACCCCCAGAAAAAAAATGGAATCGAATTCTAGGAGTGGGGCCTAGCAACCAGCGTGCTCGGCGGGGATTCCAATGTAGGCTCAAGGTGAGGACCGCTGGCCCAGGGGAAACTGTTCTATATGCAAATAGGAGACTTGGGAAGAGGTGTCCTTATGGGACATTCTGCTCCCCGTGCCCACCCTTCTCGTCGTCCCCAGGAGATGAATCACGGGGGTAGAAGTTTCACACTTTCCACATTTGATTTTTAGCTTACAGCTGCTCCCGACGAGAACTTAAGCAGAGGCTCCTGATTACTTCCCCTCCAAAAAAGAAAAGTGTCATGGATTTGGTTACTTGTTGGCCCTATCTCTTGCTCGTGCAGACCTCAGAGGCGCTAGCACCCTCTTGTTGGCACTGAATGGTTCCTGAAGGCTCTAGAATGACCAATACCCAGAAGTCAAAGTGGAGGCACGGGTCCCACCCTACAGAAGACTGTGTGGCTCCCCCCCGCATTGCACTTAGATTCCAAAATAAATCCTTCCCAAGGCCGGCCCCACTCCAGTGGCATCTCACATCTTGCCACCCTGGCCTCCCTTCCTCTGCCTCTAATATGCCAAAAGCTCATTTCTGCCTCAGGACCTTTGCAGTGGCTGTCCTGCTGCTTGAAGAACGCTTCAGGACTTGGCACACCTGGTTCCTTCTTGTGCTTTAAACCTAAACCCAGATGTCATCTTTGGCCACTGATTTCAAGTGCCTTCCACCCCACTTGTCATCATTTATCTCATTACCCTTGTTTATTTTCTTCGGAGCGCTTGACACTATCAAAAAAAAAAATAGAAAAGATCTGCTGTGTTGTTGTTTTTTTCCTGCTGTGTTTATTTTTTGACTTATTATCTGTCTCCTCCTGCCTGGAATGTAAGGGATCAAGGCCCTTGCTCTATTCCTAGCACCAGAACGGTCTCTGGTATATTGCAGGCGTAAGATTTACATAAATATTTGTTGAATAAATGAATAAATGAATGAGTCAACACAGGAAAAGCTTTAGGAGGGAAGGATCAGAGTGCAGCGATTCAGTCATTGAGACGGTAATGGACCCAAACGCCCCGCCTTCCTCGTCCCAAGGACAGGGGCACGGAGCCCGGCTGGCACCACACCAGGCCTCCTGCCTGCCTCTCCTGCAGCCCATGGCCTCGGGCCTGCCCCCCTTCTCCGCCTCCTCCCTGCAGCTCACTGTCATTACATCACGGCCATTAGAAGCCCGCAGATTCACACCCCCCTGTCGACTTCTTCATAAAGGGATGTTAATGGGGTTCATCTTCAGCAGGGGCGATGCAGACTGTTGTCAAAACTCTGGCTTGGCCACCCACGCTCCCGTAATTAATCACACGGGAGGCCAGGAAGGCGTGGCGGGAGGGCCGTGGTGGGAGGCGTGTGGAACAGCACACGGCTGCTGCCCACCGGGAGCCCACGGGGCGGGCTGGAGGCCAGACAACCCAACCGCAACCAGCGTGGAGGACTACGTTGGGGTCCGTCCGCCCCGGGGCATCTCCTCCACCTTTGGGAGCCTACAAGGGAAAGGAAATCAAACATAAAGTCGAAGCTAGAGGGAGAAATAAGGTCAAAGACAGTCTCTTCTGGAATTATAAGGATGCTGGCATTTATTGGGTGCCGTGTCGGCGGCCTGTTGCCATGAGACAAATTACCAGACATTCACCGGCTGAAAACAACACACATTCACGGTCTGGCAGTGTCTGTGGGTCAGGAATCCCGTAAGGAATCCTTGCAAGGCTGCCATCACGGTGTCAGCAGGGACGGGGCTCTCCTCTGCTGGGGGAGGACACCTGTCCGGGGGAGGACACCTGTCCGTCCCTGCTTCGTGGTCGCCGCCACAGGTTCCTATGGTTGTAGTACCGGGAGCTTTAGTTTTTTGCCGGCTGTTGGTCTGAGGCCGCGGTCAGCTCCGAGGGACTTAACCACAGTTCCTTGCCTCGTGACTGTCCCCGGTTGGCCTCTTCATCAAGCCAGCGAAGACTCTAGAGAAAATCAGGCAGCAAGATGCAGTTTTGTAGATCATTACATGACCGTGGAGGCCGCGTCTCCTGTTCTTAGCTCCGTTCTGTTGGTTAGGAGCAAGTCACGGGTCCTGCCCATAAGGAGAAGGGATCATAGCTGGGTGTGGACACAGCCGGGAGGGGTCGTGAGACAGCCACTTAGGGGATGCCCCGCACAGTTCATACTAAGTGCTAGGGATGGAGCCAAAGGCTCCTGCACGTATTATATCATTTATTCACTGAAACAGCCCATAAGGAGGAGGTCGCACAGGGGAGGATGCGGAGGAGAGAACTTGGCTAAGATCAGAACCACCCTGCGGCCCCCAGGTGGCTCAGCGGCCAAGCATCCGCCTTTGGCTCAGTTCGTGATCCTGGAGACCCGGGATCGAGTCCCGCGTTGGGCTCCCTGCATGGAGCCTGCTTCTCCCTCTGCCTGTGTCTCTGCCTCTCTCTCTCTCTCTCTCTCTCTCTCTCTCTGTGTGTGTGTGTGTTTCTCATGAATAAATAAATAAAATCTTAAAAAAAAAAAAAGATCAGAACCACCTGTATCACAGCACCGCGCCAAGCTGTGCAAGCTTAAAGGCCAAAGGATTTGCATCTTGACAGTGAGGAGCAAAGGCCCCAGGGAGGCAGGGGAAGGGGGTCGCGGGTGCGTCCTGGCTCCCCGTGAGGCTCGAGACCAGGAGGAGGGGATGGGTGTGGATCACACGCCGAGAAAGAAGGAAACCAGGAGTGCCACTGTGTGATGATCTCTGTTTTCTCAATGAGGCAGAACGAGGGCCTCCCCTGAGAGGGGGGAGGCAGGGCCAAGTTGGAACACCAGCTGTGGGGAATGGGGAGTGGGAAACAGGGATCGGGCCAACACCAGGGCAGGAGGATGGAGCTGCCTCCTCCCTGAAGACGTCCGAGGTCTCCTTGGTGGGGGGCACCCCCTCCCACCCCCGGCGCAGCCTTCCCGTCCAGCCTGCCTTGCAGCGCTGCAGTGTACCCCACGTCCATCTCATCAGAAGGAAAGTTCTAGTGGGGCAGGAACCTGCCCGGAGCCTAGGCAGGGCCTCCCAGGAACCAGCACAGGATCTGCCACATGTGCGTCCTCCATAAATGGCCTGACTCCAGACCCTGCATTTCTGAATCCCTCTACCGTATTCCCTTCTATCCCCTAAAGGCCCTCCAGGTCTGTAGGGCTTTTCAAAGCGTGCGTTTTTATTTTCGTTTTGAGGGTCAGAGTTCAAAGAGCAGTAGCGTAGCAAGGTCCATCATGGAATAGGAGTGGAGATGGAGTTAGGGAGGCCTGTCGTATGCCTGACTTTGTGACAAAAAAAAAAAAGCGATTTTGCATTGTGGCCCAGCCCTTTTGACGTCAAGGGGTCAAGAGCCATTTCAAAATATTACGTGTCAACCTATATTGGTTGATTCGACACATTGCCCATGGTGTGTCGTCGCCTGAAACGTAGAGCACAGATACAGAACAGTCCCATTTGTGTCAAGTTACCAGTTTTGACTCATCCTAAGTGGCCAAAAACCCTAACTCAGACTACCTTAGAAAAAAAAAAAAAAAAAGAAAGAAAGAAAGAAAGAAAGAAAGAAAGAAAGAAAGAAAGAAACAAACATTGTGGGCTCATTTTCATTGAAAAGTCCAAGACTATCCTCCTCCGATGCCATTTTGGCCCGAGAACAAGGCAGATGGCTTGCCACCGCCTCGGGGCGGCACCGTCCCCTAGGACTCCTTGCCCGAGTCCTGTAGTCCCCGCCAATCAGAACCGATCCGTGTGACGGGGACCTCGCCAGAGGAGCAAAGGTGGGTGCTGGGAGCAAGAGGAGGAGCAATGGGGACCGGGCGGTCACAGAGGCAACAAACGTCCACTCCGTGTGTGTCACGCTTCCAACCACAAACGGTTGGGTGCACGCCCACCAAAGTCGTGTAGGGCTTGCTCGAAGTCCTACGACTTGGGCAGAGGCAGGTGCCCAAGTGTTGGTAAAATCAGCCCCGCCTCTCATTCCCACCAGAGCAGGGGCCACCCGTGGGGTCTCCTCCGGGCCCCACTGATAGTACTTCACATTCGCTGGGGGAGCAGTTCTGGAATTCCTGAGCAACCGAGTCCCCCAAGGCCCACCGCACCTGCAACCCCACAACCTCCTCGGGGGCCTCAGCTGGGAAGCTGACCTCAACTCTGGGCCACCTGGCCCTGCTGATGTTCAAGGACGATGAGAACGGTGACAGGACTGGCACTCACGCACCTGAGCCTGAGGAAGGTCTTGGATGACCACGTTCAACCAGGCGGCACCCACCTGGGCCACCTCCGCGTTGCACCTGGAGCCCGCCACCCGCCTGCCAGAGCCAAGCCCCGTAGGCTCTGACCTCGCACACGGCCTTGGACCCGTTTGTCCCTTTGTCTCACGCCGCCCCCCGGCATCAGCTTCCAGACCCCGGGTCCACCACCACCCCACTCACTTCTTCAAGGTGGCGGCAGCAGCAGCCGCCCGGACGCCACACAGGAGGCCAGCGACGGGCGACACAGTCAAACGGCACTTTATTTCTAATTGGACCCGTCGGCTCCGTCCGGGTCGGCTTTCCCTCTGCGCTCGTTCTTAGGCGACCCTTGGAGGCCCTTCCTGGTGTTGCGCTGCTGACGGTAGACCTCCAGCTCCTCCTGGTACCTGGCTCTCAGGACAGCTGCTCTTTGCTCGTACGGCTGCTTCTCGGCACCTGACGTTGCGGACCACATCCTCCCCGAGGCCTTCGCCACCTGCACGACTGACCAGGTGGGGTTCTCCCTCTTTAGCTGGGCATAGTGGTCTTGACAGAAGATCAGGAAGGACGAGGGGGGCCGCCTGGGCGCCTGGGGGTCCCGCTTTCTCCGCTTCTTCTTCTTGCCCACGTAATTCATCATTTCTTCCTGGTATCGGGCTTTGTCGAGCTTGGCCAGGGCTTCATATTTGGCCTTTTCATGCTTCGATATGGACCTCCATTTTTCTGAGCACTTTCTAGAGAACTCTTTAAAGCCCAGGTAGGTGTTTGGCTGCTGCTCCTTGAACTTGTTCCTGTAATTCAGCAAAAAGTGGATGTAAGAAGACACGTTCACCTTGGGCCGTAGCTGGATTTCTTTTCCCATGTTCATAAGGTCATTTTTTTTTTCTGGATTCAGTAACGTGGACAGCAGAGACTTCTGTCTCCACGCTCCAGGAGCAATCTAGAAGGTGCTCTGCTTGCGGTGAATTTTTCTCTCTGCAAGAGCTACAGTCAGGGGTCAGCCTTTTCAGGGCTGGAGGCATTGTTGAGTCAGAGGAGGGGACTGTGACATCATTCCCAGCCTGTGGCACGGGCACACGGCTGCTCCTGCTGCTTGGCTGCTGAGGGTCCATTTCTGCTTTTCATGAGACGTGGTTCATCCAGAGGCGGCTTGGAGCTGCTTCTCCTGGAGCCTTTCACCTTGACTTCCCGGAGGCGATGGGCTCTGCTCAGCTGTGGGAGCTTTCTGTCCCTTGGGTGTAGTAACAACGAGCAGTGGGGTCTGCTGTCCTCAGTGCACGACTGTCAAGATGCCACGTGCTCCCTTCCAAAGCCAGGATGGAAATAACGAACGCGAGGAGGTGGATGGTTCCAGAGCTGTCACGACGAAATGGGAAGTCTTTCTGTTTGCCTCGAATGGTGGCAGCTCACGCCGTTCAAGGAGTTCAGTAGTAAGTCTAAAAATAATCAGGTATGACGGCTGTCACTCGCTTCCTGTCAGGACAACGTTGTCTAATTTAAAACCCGAGCACCTGGAAAAAATTAAAAATTAAAATAAATTAGAATAAATTTAAAAATTAAAAAAATTAAAAAGTAAAACCCGAGCACCTGGAAAAAATAAAAAATTTAAAATCTAAAAAATTTGAGAGATTTAAAGAATTTAAAAATAAAATAAATAAAATAAATAAAAATAATAAAAATAAAACTCGAGCACCTGGAAAAAAATAAAAAATAATAAATAATAAATAATAAAAATAAATTTAAAAAATTTAAAAAATAAATAAAACCCTGGAAAAAATAAAAAATAAAAATGAATTAAAAAAATAAAAAAATAAAATCCGAGCACCTGGAGAAAAATAAAAAATAAAAAAATAAAAAAATAAAAATAAATAAAAATAAATAAATAAACTTTAAAAAATAAAAAATAAAACCCTGGAAAAAATTAAAAATTTAAAAAATTTTAAAAACTTAAAAAATTTAAAAAATTTGAAAAATTTAAAAATAAAATAAATAAAATAAATAAAAATAATAAAAATAAAACCCGAGCACCTGGGCCGTGCACATCTGAACGCTGCATCTCTCCGAAGAAACTGGGGTGTGGTGGGTGGAGGGAGGAGAACCTTGAGGGGGTTTTGCTCATTACACTTGAGTCCATAAAAATGAGATCAAATTCTTGGCCCCGCTCTCGTCGCGGGGTCCCTGTGTCTCGGGGGTTAGAGTACGGGGCTCTGCTGGCAATACCCAGACTCGTCGGCTTCGTACCCTTGTGGCAGCCACTGCAAACATTCTAGCAGCCTTCCAACTGAAGGACAAAGAAAAGACAATTCAAGTGACCTTTGGACACTTTGAGGTCCTTGCTTGTACGGGACCGGGGTTAGCACAACACGGTGGTTGACGATGACAGCCCCAAATTCATAGGATGAGGCAACAGAGCCTCAGTAACAGAAAAATTAGGGTAACATAGCCTAATAGGTGAGAGTCTGAACCTGGACTGATTTGCTGGACTTGAGCCGGTGCTTGAGGCCACCACGTCAGGACCGGTGCCTCGGGCCCACTGCGCTGGTGTGCGGCTTCGGCAGCCGAGCCCGACAGGTCAGCTGGCCTGAAACCAGACACATTGATGGGGCTCCGGTCCATTCCTGCGGCCCCACACCTGATGTCAGCTTCCATCCTCTGCAAAAGAGAGGTGGGAACTGCTGAGAGCCCCCAGTCCTGAATTTTAGCCGCAGCTCCGCCCCGAGGTGGCCAGACTAGTGACGCCAGCCCCTTCGTTCCTGGAAGCCTCTGATCTCATATCTGTAAGTGCCTTGGACTGGCCGGGAAAGGCCTTCCAGATGACATGCTGTAGCTTTGTGGCTGCATGTAGAGGCTTGGAGGATCTCAGATGCCAGCCGAGGACGTCTGGGCTGGTGGTAGGGGTAGGGGGGTCGGGGGTCGGGCCGGGGAATGAATTACTCTGAGAATCTCTCTCGGCATCGTTAGCTTTTTTCGCGCTGCTTCCTCCCGAGGGCCAGGGGTCGACTCACCTGTTTATTGGGTTTGAGCTGGGCTGCCGAGGTCAATAGGACATAGCTCCTTTCCAAAGTGGAAGGATGGGCTGCGAGGAGGTGCTTGGCCAGCATCTGTGGATATTAATCAGACTCTTCTCGGACTCACGCAACCCCCAGCAGCTCATTTGTACCCCCATTCACGACCTTGTACCCTTGTCACAATGGAAGGATCCAGAAGGATTGGCCCTATGATAATCATCCGGAGCCTAGCAGGTCTAGGAAGACAAGGCGATGAAAGGTAAGAGCCGTGGCCACGCTGTGAGGCTCGGGCCATGCTGTCATGTTGGAGAGAGGACGTGGGAGGACGGTCTGGAGAACCTTAGGGAGGCTCAGTATGCCTGGCTTTGCAAGTCAGCGCTCTGTGTGCTGGTAGCTGAGCATCTCCAACCTTCGCTACCCTGCTCTTTGCCCTGAAGCTGACGCATACGGACCACATCCATGGATCTCATGCTATGGCTTCCGTTTCAGCTTGGCCAAGCTGACCCCAGCGGTAGATCCGGGGGCGGGGAAGGTGACGTCAGGGCATGTATTCTCCTGGCTTCCTCCTCGAGAGGTCATCTGGAGCTGGGTCTCAGACCCCGGACTGAAGGTCTAGGCTCCTATCAAGGTGTCTTTTTTTTTTTTTTTAAGATTTATTTATTCACAATAGACACACACAGAGAGAGAGAGAGAGGCAGAGACACAGGAGGAGGGAGAAGCAGGCTCCATGCGGGGAGCCTGACGCGGGACTCAATCCTGGGACTCCAGGATCACGCCCTGGGCCAAAGGCTTGCCCTAAACCGCTGAGCCACGCAGGGATCCCCAAGATGTCCTTTCTTAACGACTGACTCCTTCGGGTTCAGCAGTTGCTCGCTCTCCTTATCCCCTCTTGCCAAGGGTGGCTAAAAACTCTGCTTTTACGGGCTTCCGAGGACTCTGATATCCCTTGTGGCTTTCCTACACCTCGCTCCTCCCTTTGTAAATAACTTCTTTATTAAACACTCCTCAAATTATTCTAATTTGAGTGGCCATCTGTTCCCTGCTGGGACCCCGACCGATGTAGTTTCTAGTTTTCCACCCTGAACAGCCATGCAAGTGGATAAATAAAGCAAGTGTGGGCATCAGTCCAGGATAGAAGGGTACCCAGCTTCTCGAGGCCCGAGTCCCCAGCAATCCCACAGCCTGGAATGGTCTGCAGGGGCAGGTGCACCTGCCGGGGCAGTAGCAGAACAGGCCACGTGACCTCCATACAGGCATCTAATGTCCCTTGTGTTGGAAGATGACCTCTAGGCCGGGGCCGTGGTCTGAGAGCCCGATAATGAATATTTCCAGCTTTGTGGGCCATATGGTCTCTATTGGGAGCACTCCACTCCACCGTCCTAGGTCAAAAGTAGCCGAAAACCGTATGCACGCCCGTGAGTGTGGCTTGCCCACAATTAAACTTCACGAAAATTAGCAGTTGTCCGCAGGTCATAAACTGCTGACACCGGTCTAGAGATGGGAGTTCAGTGTTTTCTGATTTCTTAATTGCAGTTTACGATAAAGAAATACATATTTTGCATCATGACCCGTTTGTGCACGTGCACACTTCATGGTATTTGTGTGCCAGTCTCTGTTTGAAGTACTTGCATCAATTTATTTAATCTTCGTAAAAACTGTGTGTGTGTCAAGGGGAGGTGGTTTAAAAAAAATTATTTATTTTAGAAAGCAAGCGTAGAGAGAGCGGCAGAGGGAGGGGGGAAGAGATCAGTCTCTGCCCCGAGCCCACAGCCTGATGTGCGGCTCAGCCTCACACCCCTGAGATCCCAACCTAAGCGGAAACCAAGGGTCCGATGCTTAACCAGCTGCACCGCCAAGCGCCTCAGGGGTGCTATTTTTATGCACGTTGTAAAGATAAAGGTCTCTAAACACAGCGTTCAGAGAAAACAGACATTTTACAAAACCACACTTAACTACGTGTAAAATGTACTCTCTTCCCTTTTGTTATTTAAAGTGCAACCTGCAGGCCCATCTCATGACCCGCTATGGGTTACAGTCCATGGACTGATTTGATATCTTTTTTTTAAAAAGATTTATTTATTTATTTATTTATGAGAGACACAGAACAAGAGAGACAAAGACACAGGCAGAGGGAGGAGCAGGCTCCATGCAGGGAGCCCGACGCGGGACTCGATCCCGGGTCTCTAGGATCACGCCCCGGGCCAAAGGCAAACGCTCAACCACTGAGCCACCCTGGCGTCCCCCATGGACTGATTTGAAAAACCCTGTAGGCCAGCTTTTTTTTGTGGGGGGGGGCTCTCCCTGCAGCCCCTGTGGGATCCTGTGGGGTCCTTGTGACTGCACGGTGCTAACATGCAGTCGTCAATTCAGATTCCAGCCTTGCCACCTCATCTCCGGGTGCGGCTTGTTACGAGCCCATCGCCAAGAAGCCGTGAGGTGGTAAGACAGCGGTGGGGAACGCCTGGCTGAGGGACGGGAGGGCCCCGGCACCCCTCTACCCTGTGGGTTGGACATAGGCCCCATTTCTAGTGAATCGAGTGTGGAAAAGGGCCAACTGTATCTTGGCGGTGGAGACAGCCAGCAGGGACCACCTTAAGCAGTCACGGCGTCCTTCCCCCCCAATTAAACCCCTGATCTAATCGTGAAAAAATACTCGATAAACCCGGACGAAGTGATAGTCTACAAAATACTTGACCAGGCCTCTGGAGAAGTGCCACGGTCTTGAGAAAGCCAGGGAAGCCCGAGAAGCTGACCCGGGTCAGAGAGCAGGTGGGCCCGATGCCTCGGTGCTCCGGGGGATGCCGGGCTGGAGCTGCATCAAGAGAAAAGGCATCAGCGGGGGACGGGAACCTGA